CCCAGTCCCATCCTGGGACAGGCTGGATGTCAGGATTCTCCAATGCTCCAGTGTTTAAAGACCTGGGAATTGAGGCAAGAAAGATTTCAAAGCCTCATGAAATGAGGGGGGAAGTTGGTTTCTGGTTTGAACACTTGAAATGCCACAGCAACAGCTTCAAAGTACACATTTCTCTTGCTTTTTCTACGTGTGTATATATATATATAAATATAAATAAAACAGATATTTCAATAAATATACAAACCCCCCATAATCCAGTCCTCCCCAGAGCACAACCACTCGCCTCCTACCCAGGACATTCTGCCAAGCAGAAGGTTCTGTTCTCTCCTGGAATCATCACTTCCCTCCCCAAATTTCTGTGCAATATCTCAGGTGGAGGAATAATTTATAAGCCCCCTGTGAAAAAAAAAAAAAAAAAAAAAGCAAAGCTGTGCAGCTGCTCCCAGTTTGCAAAACTCGGCAACTGGAGGGGATTTCACTGCAAAAAAAAAATCAGGTTTGCCCCGAATTTAACACACACACACACAGAGAGAGAGAGGCAAAGAACAGCCCGGCCAGAGCTGCAGGAAGCAAAAGCTGGGCGCTGATAAAGGGACCTGCCACCAGTGCTGATGTTAAACTTTGCTTTTTCCCAGTTAGAGAACACGAGCCTTTGGGTGTATTTGGTTTTTCCTTCGTTAACTCTGCTCTGGGTGCACGTTGAGGGTTTTTTTTGGGAGGCGTCCCAACAAAAGTCGGTTGGGGTTTTTTGGGGTTTTTTGTCTTTTTTTTTTGTCCCTCCCTGCGCTGTTGTCGTGACATCTCCGGGGGTCGGGGTGTTTGCAGAGAGGGGGAATTCCACGCATGGCGAGGGGGTGGATGCTCCAAGGGCACAGAACATACAAATATTGCCAAGGCAATGCTTCCCCCCCCCTCCTCGTGCTTCCAAACACATCATAAATCCCGGCCGGGTTTCCGTGCGGGATCCCCTCCTGGCGTGGAGGCAAAGAGGGGTTTGGGTAAATAAAACTTACTGGAATCACCGGGCACCCCATTAATTCAGGAACACTCTGCCCCGGCTTCAAAGGGGCTCCTTTGCAGCCAGGAGGGTGTTTTTGCTGCTCTAACGATTTGCTGCTTGTACTTGTCATAACTACACAGCCCCAAAATATGGAGCAGGGAGGGCTTGGGGAAGTGCCCGGTTCCGCCTCCCAGCCAGCCCTGGGAGCTTCAGCTCCACGGATTTGGGGCCTTAGGGAGGAAAAATGACTCCATAAATCTCCCCTTGGGGCCTTTGTGTGATGCCAGGTGATGGAGGGAGCTCCACACCCTCCCCAGGTACCGACACACCTCCAGCTCCAACCCCAGCACAGCCCTGGGAGCTTCAGCTCCACAGATTTGGGGCTTTAGGGAGCAAAACAACTCCATAAATCTCCCCTTGGGGCCTTTGTGTGATGTCAGGTGATGGAGGGAGCTCCACACCCTCCCCAGGTACCGACACACTTCCAGCTCCAACCCCAGCACAGCCCCAAAGACTCACAATCCAGGGCTGGGAGAGGGAAAACCACCCACACCTCACCTAAGGAGTGTATCCTATGGGATAAATGGCCTGCTAAGACTTCCCACACCATTCTGTGCTTAATCCTTTTAGTGAACATGAAAACCCCCATTTTATCCCCATCTCCCTGCTCTGCACTGGGATTTATTGCTCCTGACTCCAGGCAGGGGACTTTTTCCTGGGAGAAGCAGCAGATCTGGACCCAACCCCTCTGGACACACCTGTAAATTCTCTGCTGCCTCACACACGTTTTTTTTAAAAGCCTCAGTTTTCCTAAATGTCATTTTAAAATATCCTGTATTAAAAACAGCCCTAAATTACATTTAGAAATGGGAACAATTCTCTCTCTCTCTCTCTCGCTCTCTTGCATGTTTTCACTACTTATGAATATTTTAAGGAACTCTACTGTTCAGCAAACACACACACAGAGCACTTCAGAGAAAAAACCATTTGGGATGAATTTTTGATGGAAAAACAAAAGGGCTGTCGTAAGCTCAGGGAAAATAAATCTGGTTTTAGTCATCTATTTGGGGCTGTTTTCCTCAAAAGAAAAGTAAAAAGCCGTTGCCTCCCACTGCACCCACTGGGAACCATTTCAGTGGGAACAAGTACATGGAAATTAGGAGTTCTCTGGGCTGAGGGGACCCCAAACCCAGGAGGAAGGGCCGGGTACCCCCCAGGAGGGTCTGGGGGGATGATTCCAGCCTGGAGAGCTGGGCTGGGACAGAGCAGAGCCCCATTTCTGCAGCTCTGACCATCTGTGTCTTCAAGCAGAACGTTACAGAGTCATCTGTGCTCCTGAGTATCCCAAAATCATGGAATCATGGCATGGTTTGGGTCAGAAGGGACCTTAAAGATCATCTCATTCCTGCCACAGGCAGGGACACCTTCCACTGTCCCAGATTGCTCCAAACCTCATCCAAACTGGCCTTGGACACTTAAAAAAATACTGTCTAGATATCAATCAAAATCAAATCAACCCAAAATACTGTATAGGCATCAATGATCTAAATTTAACTCCCACCTCACTGGTTTTTTACACATCTTT